CTTAGCGAGTTGATATTAATAATGATAATTAATTATTTTGTTTGAATATCGCAATATTTTTAATATATGCTCTTAAAAACAAAGGGTTACCGGTATAAAGTAAAAAAGAAAGAAATTTGATTGCTTTGACTTCTGAATTCTTATTTATTGTAATTAATTTTCTGTTAATTTTCTGCTGCAAAACAATTGTGCACTTTTATCAATTAAGGTAATATATTACATCCTACATATTTATCGAAATAATTTTTAAATAGATGTGAATTTTAAAGTTAATTTTTAAAAACTAATGTAGAATTTTTGAAGGTAATGTAAAAAAGTATATCATTATTTCTTCAAATTATAGTTTTTTACAATTTATAATAGCAATTTTCATAATCTTTTTAACAAAAGCTTTATTCAGAAAATAGCGTCGACACTCATCGGCAGTCCTACGAGTTGGTCAAGTTGCGGAATGGATTTTCTCCGCAAGAGAGGGAGGACACAGTGTGTCGGCTAAAAGCATTTTTGCGTCGGCCATCATGGGGCTATCATCCACCATCGATCCGCTTTATTCATAACTTTCGCTCGCCGTTACTGTAGACGAGAATACTTTCTTTTTATCTATAGTAGCTTTCATCGTTGTGTATTTTACAATCTTCTGTCATTAATGTATTTATATAGATTCATATAAATTCAGAATTCACTTAGAACTAAGCGTCATTATAACGTTTCCAGTAAAATCTTATATACAACTTTATGCAAAAATAATAAAAACAAACTTCGTTATACAATAAAAAAGTTATATAGATATATATAGATTTTTAATTATATAATCTAATAATGTTTTTATTAAACCGTATTAAATGTGAAAAGCTTAAATGTAATAGAAATATATATAATATTACAAACAAAGTAGGTATTCTACTTTTTATGAATATTTTATGGCCAACATTGGACAAGCAAATATACAAATTTTCATGGAATTTTCGCCGATAAACATCGATATGCGCGACCAATATCTCATCTTTGTGGCGTTCCAACAAAATGATGCGGTATGTTGTCGTCCATTCAAGATGAGATCTATCGTGTCTTGTCTGGCAGCTTCTTTTTCATGGAATATCCTCGATAAAACCTAAACGACGCAGAAAACCTTTCGTAGGCTTCGCTTTGTTAAAGGTGTGAGATTACAAAGGAAAAGAGGGGGCAGGGGACGCGTGATCGCGTATTTTGTGCATGGGAACAATCCTGTGAACCCCATGCCGAGTTATCCGAAGATTTCACGACCGCATGTCCTGTAGATCATAAGATGGACAGAATATACCGTACTAGGTCTTTATGTACCCAATCTTTCGTCCTTTTCAGTGAAAATAGCGTTGACAAAATTATAATTTTTAACATTATAATTTTGAATATACATTTCAGTTGTTTCGAGAAAGTCTGACTCATGGGATTTTTGAATTTTAATAATAATAATAAAGATTATTATTATCAATCCAATATCTTATGAAATTTGAAATTTAAATTTGCAATAATTTAAAATTATAAAAAATTTAGTATTAATTTTTATATGTTCTTTATTATTTTATAATTTTTTATTATTTACTCAATTTACTGTTAAACAATACATTTAATAATTGCTCGGTGTATAAACTTTTAATAAAAAAATATATTTTTGTACTCCTTTTATATGAGCAAAGCGCGAGATTTTTAATATATTACAAAGAAATTTTTATTGTTATCTGAAACGGTTTATTAAGATGTTTCCTGCTTGCGACGATAGAATTTCTAGCATTATAATTTTTCATTCCATAGAATGGCACGGCACGATCACGGAAGATATTCACCAGACAAATCTGTCCTCCGAATTGTTAGCACATGTCCGCGTATGCCGACAAAGCGGCAAAACGTTCCCGCTGAGTCGTTAAACCTAGTGACGAATCTCTCTTTCTCCTGTCCTCCGCATCTCAATTTTCCTGACAAATGTCAAAAACGCGGTCACGAACTTTCCATCGCGTGTAACTGGAGTTCTTATAAACACAAAAATTTCACAATGTTTATATTTATTAAAATTTAATGTAATAGTTTTTATTGTTAAAATTGTTATTCATATTGTTATCCGCGCGAATTTAAATATATTTTTAATTTGTAAATTAAATATAACAAGATGAATTATATATGTAGTGTTATATATATATCTTCATGTTTTATAATCTTGTGTGCATATTCTATTATTTTTAGCCTATTATTCTTTCTTTGACGTTTTCTGAGCTTTTCTGCAATTAAAAAGAATCTGCTTTATTTTTTGTAAAAATATCCGCTGCTACGCCAATGAACATGTTAGCGCATCATTGTCGTAGGTGAAACCCCGGACAGATCCTAATCTGTCGTGTAACCTAGTAAGAAGTTCCATTGTTGCTTGGATTCGTGCCCATCTCTCAAAGATACACCTTAATAGCTCCCAGTAGCAAAATAGCCATTGAGGAATCATGCCGCTTTGATTCCTTTTCATAATTCTTCACCAAACTGTCCTGTTTCCTATTTGGTTACTCTAGATTGTCATATAAGTTTCTCCACTACACTGTCTGATCAATGTATCGAAACACGAAACTGAAAATGATATATTAATTTCAATTTATATGTGTATTTATTGTATTTATATAGAATTCTATATCTTTCTTTTTTTTTTTTATAAGAACTTCAAAGAACGCGATGTATTAATTTTATATATTATTTACAGAAATGATGAAATTTATTGATTTAACTGCAATTTATAAAGTTTTACATTTATGATATTTATACAATTTTTAATTTTTATTCCAAATAAATCATACATAGATTTAAATTCTTATACAAATTATAATTTATATAAAATGTGTTATTAACTATATACGAATTAGTTTACAGGATAGAAGAATAGTAGTTGAAATGCGTTTTGCATTCCATGGATTTTAAATTGAAGATTAAGAATGAAAGGTTCATATACAAAAGAATAGGAAGATGAAGATCAGACTGTGAAAAAGCGGTAGTTTATGAATGAAAAGGAAATTTCAAAATGGAGAGAATATCTTGCGGTTTATTTGACATTTTCGAAATCTGACAGATACGGATTACTCACAAACTGAAATGTTCAAAATCTCCAATGAAGAAATATTTTTTATCATATAAAATGCATGCTCATCAGGCTTATTTACCTGCAGAAATCTTTATCCACCTGTGAGATTATTGATTTTTATGGACGCAGATTAGTTGTATTTATAACCGGAAGATGGTGCGAGTCTACGAGATAATTGTAAATTCTATCACAATCAGATATGAGATCCTAATAAATTTTTTTAAAAAAGAACGAATCTAAGAATTATCTTCACCTTATCAAATAATAATAATATTTTGTCTGCTTTGAAAAATATATTTTTTATATCATTTTATCAGAAATCTATTTATATTTCAATTTTTTTTATTGAGATAATTTAATCTTTATAAATTAGAA